TATAGGATCTCCGTACATTTATTCTGCTGCCAGCTGCAGCGACATCCAAGCTCACATATATGCAGATTCAATTACTACAACTCCTGTGGGGTCTCAGTCCATAAGTAAACACAATATCTGAATGGTAAAAACAGTGGAGCTGAATTATTTACCACAAAAGACAAAGATGTTTCTGAAGTGCACTGAAGATGTTTAAAAGAGGAACTGATCTATGTCCTGTCCCCTAATGATTTTGCGCAAAATTATTGATGAACAGAAAGATCTTTTTATGTGCATAACATCTGCATTAGTCTAAACCATTATCTTCTGCCTTTTTGCAACATCTGTTGGCTATTAATCAGCTCCCAGTTAGCTCATCAATGGCTGATCTCAAAGAGGAAGAACAGCAGGTAAACACGCATGTGTCTGCTCAATGACTACCTCCCTTTTCAGAATATTCATACAAATGGGACATTAATAGGTCCATCTGGTGCTCGTTATGAATGTTAAGGAACTTTTTCTACACTTTCTTCATGTAAATAGAGTTAATATGAGCAGCCGTTAGCAGTATCATCATGTCATATATATATATATATATATATATATATATATATATATATATATATATATATATATATATATATATATATATATATATATATATTTTATTTATTTATTTATAAATAGATATATATACACTCAACAAAAATATAAACGCAACACCTTTGTTTCTGCTCCGATTCTTCATGAGATGGACTTAAAGATCTAAAATTCATTCCAGATACACAATATTACCATTTCTCTCAAACATTGTTCACAAATCAGTCTAAATGTGTGATAGTGAGCACCTGTGCTTTGCTGAGATAATCCATCCCACCTCACAGGTGTGCCACATCAAGATGCTGATCTGACATCATGAGTAGTGCACAGGTGTACCTTATACTGCCCACAATAAAAGGCCACCCTGGAATGTGCAGTTGTTTGCTTTATTGGGGTCTGGGGACTCAGAACCGGTCAGTATCTGGTGTGAACACCATTTGCCTCATGCAGTAAAACACATCTTCGCATAGAGTTTATAAGATTGTCAATTGTGGCCTGTTGAATGTTGGTCCACTCCTCTTCAATGGCTGTGTGAAGTTGTTGGATATTAGTGGGAACTGGTACACGCTGTCGTATACGCCGGTCAAGCACATCCCAAACATGCTCAATGGGTGACATGTACGGTGAGTATGCTGGCCATGCAAGAACTGGGACATTTTCAGCTTCCAAGAATTGTGTACAGATCCTTGCAACATGGGGCCATGCATTATCTTGCGGAAACATGAGGTGATGTTCATGGATGTACGACAAAACAATGGGCCTCAGGATCTCATCACGGTATTGCTATGCATTCGAAATGCCATCAATAAAACACACCTGTGTTCTTTGTCCATAACAGATGCCTGCCCATACCATAACCCCACCACCACCATGGGCCACTCGATCCACAACATTGACATCAGCAAAGCACTCACCCAGATGATGCCACACACGCTGTCTGCCCTGAACAATGTAAACTGAGAGTCATCCGTGAAGAGAACACCTCTCAAATGTGCCAGACGCCATTGAGTGTGAGCATTTGCCCACTCAAATCTGTTACGGCGACGAGCTGGAGTCAGGTCAAGACCCCGATGAGGATGACGAGCATGCAGTTGAGCTTCCCTGAGACGGTTTCTGACAGTTTGTGCAGAAATTGTTTGGTTATGCAAACCAATTGCTTCAGCAGCTGTCTGAGTGGCTGATCTCAGACGATCTTGGAGGTGAACCTGCTGGATGTGGAGGTCCTGGGCTGGTGTGGTTACACGTCGTCTGCGGTTGTGAGGCCGGTTGGATGTACTGCAATATTCTCTGAAACGCCTTTGGAGATGGCTTATGGTGGAGAAATGAACATTCAATGCACGAGCAACAGATCTGGTTGACATTCCTGCTGTCAGCATGCCAATTGCACGCTCACTCAATGCTTGTGGCATCTGTGGCATTTTGCTGTGAGACAAAACTGCACATTCAAGGGTGGCCTTTTATTGTGGGCAGTATAATAGTTTTTCCTGGGATCTGCTCCAGCCACTCCTCCAGTTTGGTGGTTACTACCACGTGTGCCCTGATGACCACGGGCACCACTGATGTCTTGGTAAATGGCTTGTATTTGATATAGTGCCTTCCAGTCTTGGAACCCCCCAAGGCGCTTTAAACGCAACCAGTCATCCACCCATTCACACACACACATTCACACCTGTTGTTCCTAGAACTGTACTTTTCTGGACCGAGATGTGTGTGTGTGTGTGTGTGTGTGTGCGCGCGCGCACACACACACACACACACACACACACACACACACACACACACACACACACACACACACACACACACACACATATATATATAGCTTGGTCCGCATTGCCAGCAGTAAGTCGGGCTCGTTCCCAGTGAGAGTTGGACTCCGCCAAGGCTGCCCTTTGTCACCATTTCTGTTCATAACCTTTATGGACAGGATTTCTAGGCACAGCCAAGGCGTGGAGGGCATCCGTTTTGGTGGCCTGAGGATCAGGTCTCTGCTTTTTGCAGATGATGTGGTCCTGTTGGCTTCATCAAAACGTGATCTTCAGCTTTAGCTGGAGCAGTCTGCAGCCGAGTGTGAAGTAGCTGGGATGAGATTCAGCTCCTCTAAATCTGAGACCATGGTCTTGATTCGGAAAAGGGTAGAAGGCATTCTCCGGGTCAGGGAAGAGGTCCTGCTCCAATTGGAGGAGTTTAAGTATCTTGGGGTCTTGTTCACGAGTGAGGAAAAGCTGGAGCGTGAGATCGATAGGCGGATTGGTGCTGCATCTGCAGCTATGCGGGCGTTGTACTGGTCTGTCGTGGTGAAGAGAGAGCTAAGTCAGAAGGCGAAGCTCTCGATTTACCAGTTGATCTACGTTCCTACCCTCATCTGTGGTCACAAGCTTTGGGTAGTGACCGAAAGAACATTATTGCGGATACAAGTGGCTGAAATGAGGTTTCTCGGCAGAGTGGCTCGGCTCTCCCTTAAGCTTGGTTTATGCTTGACGCATTCACTTTCCGCGCGGTGATGCGGCTCGCGGCTGGAACGCGCTTCACAACTCGCAGCGTTTATGGTTTGGGCGGCTCGCCTCTGCGGTGAGCCAATATTCTCCCAAACTGAACGGGGCAGCATGGAGCTCTACAGCATGCATCCAACACTACACCATAGTAGAAGTAGAAATCACTGTTTACAACATGGTATTTCAGCATTTTTAACAGCGTCCTCGTCTTTTCCGACAGTGCGAGCTATTTCTCTCCAAGAATGATCAACAACATGTTGATCACGGTGATCTCTGAGAGCTGAATCATACAAATGTCTGTATTTACGAACCTCTGCCGTGCCGGTCCGCCATGTTTTTCCGCGTCCGACCGTCCGCGTGGTTAGAAATTTTCCGAGGTGCGCGTTGCGGAAATCTTGGGCCGTGCGGAGACGCGGTGGAGGGGCGTGGTTGTTAAAATGATGCAAAATGACGCAACTTTTCCGCGCGGAGCCGTGCGGACCTCGCGGACGCGTCAAGCATAAACCAACCTTTAGAGATAGGATGAGAAGCTCGGTCATCCGGGAGGAGCTCGAAATAGGTCCACTGCTCCTCCACATCGAGAGGAACCAGTTGAGGTGGCTCGGGCATCTGGTCACGATGCCTCCTGGACGCCTCCTTGGTGAGGTTTTCCGGGCACGTCCAGCCGGGAGGAGGCCTAAAGGGAGACCCAGGACACGTTGGAGGGACTTCGTCTCTCATCTGGCCAAGGAAAACCTTGGGATTTCCCGTGGAAGAGCTGGCCCAAGTGGCTGGGGAGAGGGAAGTCTGGGCCTCTCGACTTAGGCTACTGCCCGTACGACCCGACTCCGGATAAGCGGAAGAAAATTAATGTATGTGTGTGTATATATATATATATATCCTTACACTGGATTACAAACTGTTTCCTGCGTGGAAAAGTCAGGTTTTGTGTAAATCTTGCTTTTCCAGTCGAGCTAAGTTTACGTCACACCATCCTTCCCTATTTTGTTGCTCATTAGTCTTCATCCGTTTGGTGTTCAGAGAGCTTAATGATGGAACTTCATTATGAAAAACGCATTTGAGTAAGGTTGATAGGGAAAAAGATCACAGGCTGTAACCAGAGTGAGATAAAATTAGCACATAAAATCAGTTTTTTTTTATACCTTTACACTCTTTCTGTAGCCTGGCCTGCCATACTCGTCTTCTAATCAATTCTGCACAGATAACTAGTCTGGTTACTCACAGGCAGAGAGGGACATGAGGGGTGGGACTAGCCAGCTCGAAAACCATTCAGAAAAAAGGCAGACACGTTGTCAGTACAGCATGACGCTTTTAGCTGTAGTCAAAAATGGCGTCTGACGACGGTGCAATTTTCTTTTTGTAGAAGAAAGGCTTTTAGCACTTCTTGTTGTGGTTTTAAAGACATGTTCAAGTCACTTAGAACAAAAGAAAGAGCTGTGGCGGACTCCGCTTCAGATGCCATGTGTATGAGAAACTCAGCATGTGTGCGTGAGACGTGCATGCTCACCGCTGATTGGCTCGGTTAGAATTCTCAGGGTGCAGGGTTATTTGAATAGAAGAGTTCCCAGATCCAATGATTCCCAAAGGAAGCATGGGTCTGGCTGGTCAGGCTACTGTTTCTTCAAAGTGTCAACTAGCTTAAAAGTCAACACACTGGTAAATAAGCTGTTACCAATCGTCACAATGGCGGGAGATGCCCAGGTGCCCTGTTTAAAGCCCTTACCTTGTTTTTTAATAATAAACTGTTAATATATGTACAGCAAGATCCTACTGGTAGAACTGCTAGTGAAAACAAAATTAGTTCTTTGTAAAAAAAAAAACTTTTGGACAACGATCCATGGTCCCCATCCAAAATCTCTATTTGTTACCCTAGAAGTTTCAAAACACGACTCACTTCATGAGAGTTTATGTTTTCTTGTATCCAAGGTTAATGGACGGGATTTCTCCAAGGCAGAGCACAATGAGGCAGTGGTTGAAACCATTAGGCGAGACCCCATCGTCGTCCAGGTCCTCCGACACACCCCCACCAGAGCCGCGGCAGCTGTCGTGCACAAGAACCGTAGCTCACCTCAGGATGTGTGTGTGGTCAACGTTTGCACGCAGACCGATATCACCTTTGAGCACATCATGGCACTGGCCAAGCTTCGGCCCACAACCCCGCCAGTGCCGGACGTGTGTCCTTTCTTGCTGTCTGACAGGTGAGGACAAACACTAACAAATGGAAAATTCTTAACTCATTTAAGAGAATCGGTACGTTTTTTTCCCTAAATTCTGTACACCACTGCAAGCAAAAAACTTTTTTTTTCACTTCTTGCAACAAATGAATGTAGGTTTCCCCAAAGGTTGCACTGCTGATCTCTTTCACTTCATTGTTGCTATTAAGCAGCCCCCTTCACAGAGTGGAAAGTCCAAGCAAAGCTAAGCACTGTGATATGATTATGCACAACCAAACTGGGATGCAATAATTGCTTTGGTGTGCCACATCCATTTTCTTTAATGGACTGTCATAGCCAGCATCCTGATACTGTATCCATTCAGTAGCTATTTATAAGGCTTTGCCGGAAGTCAGCTTGTCTAACAGACCTGCAAACACTCCATTCTTGGTCAGTAATTATGGTGAGGTAGACAGAGTTACAACATAGAGACCATAGCTTGTTTTTAAAATGTACAATGATCAAACAGTTGGTATTATCAGGTGTGGAAAATAGTTTGACTGGTGCCAATGAGCAAAGCTCATATAGGTCCATTCATGAATAATTATAAGCATATTTGCATATTTTCTTTTTCCTGTAGCTGCCAGTCTATTCACACCATGGAGCATGAGTTCTACGAATGTCCAGAGTATTTGTCCAACACCCCAGCAGAAGTGGAGCGGACAGAGGAGTACGAGTATGAGGTAACGTTTTATAAAACCTCTTATTTATGGTATGTCTGAATGTAAGGGTGGTGTTCTCCCTACAATGTAGATCAGGTCCTTCCATTGACATGCCCTAACTCTAAGAACAGAGGAGAGCGGCTATGGATTTGGTCAAGCTTGCCTTCATATTTCTTCCCACCCGTATGTCAGCATGTGTCTTGTTGTCTAGCAACCATGATAGTGGTAAACAGAAGGTAAAACTAAATTTGACGGTACACGAAGAAATACAAAACCTGCCACACTTGCTTGCTTACAAGTATTTTTCAAATTTTTTACAAAAAAATGTGGAAGAAAGAATATGGAAATGACAAAAGCCCAACAACACAACCGCTTGAAGTTTTTATATGTTTACCACCAGATAATGTTATACTAATATTTCAAACTGAAATCCTCTAGCTCTGTCCACCATTAAAACAAAAATGAATATCTCCTCTTTGGCCCACGATGAATTCTGGATTCGCCTTTGCCAATAAACTTACACCCGACCCGTCCTCAAAACTCGTGAGATGCCTTTGAGGACCCACTTTGAGTTTACTTTGAATTTGGACAGCCTCATGGCTTCTCTGTGACATAATGGACATTAAAATGTGTACTCTGATTGATGCAACCCCTTGATTCGGACACACCTTTTGTCTCTGTCATTTCTGAAATCACGTTTTTGGGGCTTCTTACAATCAACAGAAGCTTGAGATTGAAAATCTACCAAAAACATCTGTTTTAATGCATTATCACCCTAGCAATAGGTTTATCAAACAGGTTACATAGCTTAAGGCGTTGTTAGGTGAGAGTGATATATATGCTTTTGTGGTTTAATAGGTGCTTCCTGGTTCAGTGAACTTTATTGTGCGTTATTAGGATCCCTTTGCTGCCATCTGTGGCCTTTTACCTTGAAGCATCATCCAAGGGAAAGGGCTTCCTGTTTGGGTCGGGGATGGGGTGGAGGCAAAAAGCTTGTGTGTTGTAATAACTGTGGTATTAGAACAAATGTAGCAATACAACACGCACCTGCCGAACACACACACCACATCAGCGGTCCGGACTTTTCCACATCCATCCGTGTGTATCTAACTGAAACAAGAATGGCTTTCCTCTTGAAGGCAGCAGAATAGGGCTGCCATTCCTGGGAACATTACTTCTGACTGACAGGTCGTGCTTCACTTCAGACTGATTGTCCACATGGGTACGCCTGCTGTCATAATAGTCCTGGTGGTTCTGCCAAATCTATCATCCTATAATACACAGCAGGTAGCAGCAGAGTTATGACTTTGACATACGGTATGAAGGCTTTGATTTATCAAGTGGAAAAGGAAAGTTTAACTGAAAAATGTTCACCTGCAGTTTACATTTTTACAGTTAAAAAAAATGGAAAAGTATTTGTGGCAGAGAAGATTTTCATCTACATTTGCTTAAATGTACTCCTCCCCTCCAGGGAAAAATCCTGTTTAATGATGGCATATTGTGTTGTTAATAAAAGTGGCGTTTCATCACCAGGTCGCACTGTGTTGTTAATGAAGTGGCAGCAATGTGCCAGACAGCAGTCAGCTATCTGTTTGTTAGATTAGTCTCATTTTAATTTCTTAATCTGGATTGTCTCCAGGTGTTGAACTTTAAAGGCTGACTTCTTCTAATCTTGCAAACCACAAAAGAAAACAGCTTTTGGCAGGCAAATACAATAATTCCATTGAGCTGTAAGCCGTGCAGGCGTTAAAGAAAGACAAGAAAAGAGCAGCAAAACAGATGCATTAGCCTCAAAGAAGCTTTTAGACTTTGATTCCAGGGCGAGTTTGAAAGCTGCAATAAGTAGCTTTTATTTTAAAGGGGACAAATTATGCAAAACTCACCTTTGGCATTTTTTGTGCTGCCATGTGGTTCTCTACTGCCTCTATAAACACTCCAAACGTGGAAAAAAATAAATAAATACACCCATCTGCTTTCTGTCACGGTTCAATTTTAGGAAATATGTGCATAAAAGGAACTGTTTCAAAAAGTTTCCATTTGTGACAACACAAACGGGGAAATTAGAATAGAATGACCTCTCAGGGGCAAGAGAGAGCTGCTGCTGGAGGAGCCACGACTCAACTCTGAATTCCTCCTGGATATCGGAGCTTCTCAGCTTACAGCAGCTTGAGCAGGGGCGTGGCCAGCTCCAGCTCAAGAAGCCTGCAGACATGGCAGACATGTCCATTTAGCTCTCCACTATTTTTGCTTTAATACTTTTAAAAACCTGGGGTCTCATTTATCAAACATTGCATAGAATCCTTACTAAAGCCGTACTTCAGCTCAGCAAAACAAATGTACTTACTCCAAGTAGGTTTGTGATCTATCAAACATTGAGTACGCACAGCTGCACGCAATCTCCGCTTCATAAATCGGAGTCAAGAATGTTTCTCTGCTGCATTTTAGTCACATCCCACCCTCACCACGCCCACTTACTGCCATAAATAGTCAATGCAAAGTGCCTTGTGGATCTCATGCATACACATAAGCCGGCTGTTGTAGCGCTCCGCCAATGACATGGCGACCGTAGATCAAGGCAGATCAAGGAAGCGCTATTCACAGAAGCAGAAATTGAGGTAACTGTGGGTGAGGTGGAGAAATGAAAGGAAGTGCTTTTGCAAAACAAATAAGAGAAAATCCACAGACTGGCACAGCGTTGCTGAAGCTGTCAATGTTGTGAATTCTTCAGAGAGATCTGTGGAGGATGTAAAAAAAAAAGGTCCAATCAGGATTCGATCCACAGACTCCCAGGTGAAAGTCACGCACTAACCAGTCAGCCAAACAGAGATCTCCCCTGTACAAGTAGCCAGGGCGCATCATCAATTGGGTCACAGTGACAGCACACACTGTCACAGATGCATGGCATTCTGTCTCAATCTGTCCCCCTGCTGATATTCTGCATTCCGTATTCTGCGCTTCAGGCTGTGTGTGTGCATGTGTGTGTACGCACGCGTGTGCGTGTGTGTGAGGGTCTTGTTCTGTGTGAAAACGAAGCAGTACGAGTGATAATGCTGCAGGATTTCATAATTTTATCCTTCTCAGTAGCAGCACTGCAGGTGCTCTCCATGTCCAACATGTGCGTAAGCCAGGTCCTTAGTCAACTTAAAGTTGCGCACATTTTTCCGCTAAGTTTTCTTTCATAAATCCCCAAAGTATGCGTGGAAAGTTGCTTACCCAGTTTTCCGACCCCGTTTTGTGCGCAAGCAAGCTTGATAAATGAGGCCCCAGGTAGGTAGATTTTAACGTTGCAAACCTGCAACGCCTGCCTCCAGAGGGTTAATATTATCTCATCAAATTCAAAAACATGTGGAATAGAAAATGTTTTTAAATTGCTATCTTTTTGAAAAGGAACAACATGTTTGTATTAACAATACTAATTTAAACTGAGCTAAACTTGCATGTGGGATTCCCCAGGGTCCCATTGTGGGCCCTCTTTATGTATTTTGAAGGTCAACTTTACTCGTGTTTTGATACATTTGCTGTGATCTCTAGTAGGAACAATGCCTTGTAAGTTGAACTCTGAGGGGAAAAAAGCTCAGCTGAGCCTGTTTATGCAGAAGTCAGCTGGAGGAGAAAATAGCTTCCGACAGCAGGATTTGGAATACTATTTCCTGATATTTGTACATTTTACCTCTGATTTGCTAACAGCAACTCTACCATTGACCCTGTTTGCTTTGCAACATTTATGTTTAATCCCCACAAATAACACAAGCTCGAAGGAGTTCTGCCATGTTGTGGAGTTGCTAACGCTAACGTTTAGCTTCAACTAGTCGAGACGTTCTCTGCTGTTTCCTGGAAGCTAAACCAACAACAGCCTTCCCTGTGGTGAGTCAAGATGGGTTAGTCCATGAATGTTAGTCACAGTGTGACATAGATCTGTCAGGATTTTCTGAAGCGTTTTTTATCTATTTTCTATCAGATGCTCATGCAGAAAAAAGTGGTGGACTATTTTCACGTACATCCTAAATGAAAAACCAATAATAACATAATAATAATAATTAATTAATGGTTTCTCAGTGAACATGCCATTTTAACACATTAAAAAATGTCTGTAAAAAAGTTTAGCCTCTTATGTTTGCAGACTTGTTTTTTATTATCACATTCTGACTTCAATGGCCTGGTAAGAGAAACAAATGAAGAATATACTGTCTAATGTTCCGGAATGGTTTAAAGTTAACAATGATATTTTATATTATGATCAATCAGGTCACAGTGACAGGACACTCACTGTCACATGACATTCTGTCTCAATCTGTCTCTCTGCTGATATTCTCCATTCTGTATTCTGCGCTTCAGGCTGTGTGCATGTGTGTGCGCGCGCGTGTGTGTGAGTGTGCGCGCATGTGTGTGTACGCGCGCATGTGTGGGGTCTTGCTCTGTGTGAAAATGAAACAGTACAAGTGATAATGCTGCAGGATTTCATCATTTTATCCTTCTCAGCAGCAGCACTGCAGGTGCTCTCCATGTCCAAAATGTGCGTAAGCCAAGTCCTTAGTCAACTTAAAGTTGCGCTAAGTTTTCTTTCATAAATTCCAAAGTTTGCGTGGAAAGTTGTTTACGCAGTTTTCCGACCCCATTTTGTGCATAAGCAAGCTTGATAAATGAGGCCCCTGGTGCTTTTCTGTCACTGATTACTGGATTCTGTGAATTTTGTTGGACCTTTGATGATTCTTATGATTTTTGTAATTTCTTGGATTTTAGTTGGACTACAAATCTTTGCATCTGTCAGACGTGGCTTGGCCACTGTATAGTGCTTTCTGCAGCCTAGAAGGTATTGTGAATGTCTGTCCCTCCTCCCCCACTTTCTGCCCCACAATGATGAGTTTATGTTGTTTAAAGCAAATAAAATGATTAAGGACCTTAAGGAGGATGTATGACATCTCTCTGTTGAACTTCAAAGGAAGGATATGCTTCTGGATAGTTTTAGAAATCACCTCCCTTCACTAACCAGTACCATTTTGAGAACTTTTGGAAAAGAAAAG